GACTTATTTTTCAGATTTGGGTTGCAGTGGTTCCACCATGCAAGATAAGAGGCATTGAACTCAAAACAGGCTGTTACTGGTTTGCATGCGTGCAATTGCATGTCACTGCTTCCAGATGAGTTTGGGCATGTTGGCTAGAGATTAAGGATCCTGTAATCCAACAGATTTGGAGGATACAGGCTTGGAAAAAAAATATGGCCCTCTTCCCCACCTCATAACCTTTTAATGGGCATGCAACCCTAATCCTGGACTGGAAGAATTCCAAACCTCTCCAGCCCTCAAAAGGCAACGACACCCACCAACAACGTTCTCTGTGGTAATGATCAGGCAGGCCTTTGCAGATTCTGGACAAAGATATGGGGCCCCAGTGCAGGAACTCGTATTGCTGCTGCATCGTTCACACTGCAAGCCTAACCCTGGAAGAGAAGAAGAGCAAAGCAACATGAAGCCCCAGCCCATCCTGTCTTCTTTATTCTCACTTGATGGCACAAGGGTTACCTAATGGCTTCTTTATCATTGATCACTCTTCACATGAAACAGCAGTGAAGCATGCATGTTTGTCAAGAGCAAAAAAAAAGGTGAAAACTTGATCCCTCTCCTTCTAGCATGGTAAAGAATTGGAAAACATATTCCTGAAAAAGAACTCCCCACCTAGACAATTGATGCAGAAATGTGTTGGAGAAGAAGGAGAAGAAATACCCTGTTTGTAACTTTGAGTGCCTTCTGGTGATAGGCCTTTATAAGACAGAATCTATATGGCCAGTGGTAAAGATTATAATTTGTACACAGATGGTCCTCAATATCTCCAATTATAAGAACCTAAAGTGGCAGGGGAGGGAAACTGCTGAAGATTTTGGAAAACAACAGATAATCAAAATAGACACTGATGAACTAGATGGCAAAACAGTACAGTGCAATATAAAATAAGTGTCTGATGTCCCTAAACAGTGTTTGAAAATGCCTTCCAGTCACTTTACAGTACAGTCTTTCCATCTTGTGGTGCCTACAAGTATGTCTTCATAACATATAGCTTAAGAAAGAAGGACTTACTGCTTAAGACCTGCTCCAGTGTTTGTACTGTACTATGATATGTATGATCAGCAGAGTAGCTAGTCAAGGAACCACGCAAATTAAACTACACGATGGTACTAGAATATTAAACCTGTCCCAATGAAATCATATCACTAATTAATATCTGAAGTCCCAGATGAATGTCCATGTCCTAGCATCTCCCCTTTAGGATCTCTGAGAAGAGATAAATGAGAAGATATGGAGAAAACTCCAGAGAAGAACTTGAGAAGCTAAGGACTATTGAAGAGACAATGGTGAATTGGGTGGATTAATAGCCCAACCGGCTCTAAGTACCCCTATTCCTAAATCAGTCCCTAGTAACTTACCAATAGCAAGCAGAAAATCAAAGAGGTAACAGATCAGCAATATATCCATGCTGTTCAGAACCAGAGAGAAAGGGAGGTTGGAGTTGAGGTGGCAACTGCGTCAGCATCTGGTTTCTTCTAGCAGAGGGATCTTCCTGGGCTGGAAAGGATACAAGGATGGGCCAGGGAAAAGGCAGCTTCAAAGCCCCACCTGGAAAATCTGTCACTTGCTAAAACTAAACCTGAGCTTGCTGACGTTATCATACTGAAGGATATGCTGAAGAAAGTCACTCATGCACTTGTCATTTCTTGCATGGACTACTATAACGTGCTCTGTATGGGACAGCGCTTGAAGATCATTTGGAAACTTCAGCTGGTATAAAATGCAGTTGCCCATATGCTTGTGGGCAGTTGTGATGCTGCCATGTCACACTGCTGCTGGAGGAGCTATGTGGATTGCAAGCTTGTTTCCAGTGCAACTCAAGGTTCTGGTTGCTAGCATAAAGCCCTATATGGCTCAGGGCCTGCACATCTAAGACTTGTCTTTCCCATACCAATTCAATTGCCCAGTCTTAGCAACCAGGGAATGCCCGCTGAAAGTCCCCTATTATTAGGAGGTGGGGCATGTGGGGCACAGCAACAGGCATTCTTTCTGGGGGTTCCCTTCCATGGAACAGCTTCCACTCCAAAGAGAGGATGGATCCCATTCTCATGGCCTTCTAGAAACTGGCAGAAATTTAGTAGTTCTGAAAGGCCTTTAGCAGCGATGTAGAGTCTTTGAACTAACCTTAAATTTAGGCTTGTGGTATGATGTTGATGTTATTTTATTACTGTGAAAACTTTTTAAAATTTAATATCTGCAAACCACTTAAAGTTTACTAGAATTAAGGCGGCAGATAAATCCAATAAATGAATTAGTAAGGACACTTTTGCAGTCCTCTGGGGCTAAACAGAGTTCCTCCTTTTCACGAGAGGAGGGGGCAGAAGCTCGAAAACATTGTTTTTCCATCATGGCTCCTGTATGGTAGAACAGCCTCCTTCCAACAGCCCTCTGGCTTCTTCAGTGAAAGCCGTCAGAAGACAGTGAAGACCATATTCTTCCCGAAGGCCTTCAGGATTTGATTGAGTACCACCTCAAATCAGACATTATTTGTCAGTTTATGAATTTATTTACTGGGTTCATGTTTTATTTGTAGCACTTGATTTTGATCTGTTGATATTGGCATGGTCTTATTGATTTTGTTGTAAGCTTGCTTGAGTCAAAGAGGTCAAAAGACAGTTGATCTCGTGATTCAGTCTCCATACAGTGTAGGGTTAGGACTATGAAAGGCAAGATCCCCTCTCAGAAATGCTCCATACTGGGCCACCAGCCAGAGCTTAGTTCTGTTCTATGCCCAAATTCTCTTACAGTACATTTTGTATTTAAAGAAAATGAGAGATAAGTAATTTGGAAGTCTCTAGTTTGCAAAGTCCAAGATCTCTACCTGGTAGTCCATTCTTAGTAATGCTGCTGGAAGGGTATCCAAAAGGTTCTTGCCCTCTCAAAACAATACAGCTTAGCTGGTCATATTTGCTCCAGTTGATTTTTAGATGTGATTATTTTGAGAATTCAAATCAAGATTTTGTTTTTTATTTTTTTGGCCTTTTGAGCTGGGCAGTTCTCCCCCACCCCAACCCAACCCAAAAGAAAAGAAAAGAAAGAAAAAGAAAAAGAAAAAGAAAAAGAAAAAAAATTAATGCGGTTTTTGACCAGATAAACCCAAATGGTTGAATCAGAAGGAAATTGTCCTGGGTTCAGTGTGACACAACTGCTATTCATAATGTTTAGGATTAAGCCTGCTTACCTGAAAGTAAGACCAGTTGAATTCTGTGGGACTTACTTCTAAGCCAACACAATCAGGTCAAGGTTGCCAGTTACACAAGGCTCTTTCAATAGTTTGGGCATCTGATATGGAATCATATAAGCCATAACTGATTCAGAGCTATATTCAATATCATGCCATCTATTAAATGTTCTCTAGGAGCTAGTTTACATTTGTGCGCTGGAAGATATTTCTCCTAATTCTCATATCACTATCTTTCTTATACTAATGTAAATAACACACTCTGTTAGAGGAGCAAAAAACATTATTGGCTAACACAATTATGACATCAGTGGCCTGTTCCACCAACCACAGCCTGTCAGGGCACACCAGAGTTCTGTGTCCACTCTTTGTTGACAGTTAGTTCTCTGGCCATAAAGCAAGTTCCAGAATCACATTGTACCCGTTTGACTCCAACCTGGGATTCCTGTGTCACTCATCCTTGTGCCTTGACTCCTGCTTCTCGGCCTTTAACCTGAGATATCTTGACAGTATGGGCAGTTGATAGGTTCCAGAGAATTAGGTCTCTGGCTTTCTCACTGCCACCAGAAACAGCCATCCCACCTCATTCCATAGCCGACTTGACTCCGATGCACCTAAGCCAATATGGAACTAACTGTGCAATTTGTGTAGATAAGCTGTCATCTGGAAGGAGTTAGAGATAACGTTTGCCCACAGAACAGTCTGAAAAGGGAGGAAATGGATCAAAATCTTATTGATTCCTTTAAAAACCCACCTATCTTATGGGACTTTATATGAGATCAAACTCAGAATGCTCAGAAATGGAAAAGTAGGCAGGCGTGAGCATTCTCAGCTGATCAACCTTAAACCCAGAGAGGAGATGGTGAGTATCATAGATCCTTCTTCCTCAAATGTAGTTTTCTGGTTAAAGAAATCTTACATGTCCCTGACACATTTTGTCCTTTGAGAAATGGGAAATTTCCAGAAACCTCTTTTGATCACTGAGTGACAGAGGATATCTTATACTAATAGTTCCACCCAATTTAATTCAGTCTTCTCCAGAAATTATCATTTTAAGAGGAGACAGTAAGGATATTGGTAGTTTCCTCAAATTAGGTTCCACGAGATTTTCTAGATGTCTTCTTTCTTGGAAGATTGAATGGGTAGTGTTGGAATCCACATTGTGGATTGAGGTTTGGTGATCATATGACACAGCTGACTGGGATTATCCCGGGATTAAAGCTCTCTGTCCTGACCCAACTAGGTTTTGGTAGTCGCATAACACATTAATCCCACCCTACCTCCAGCTTGGCATGTTATGGAAACCCAGCCAGTAACTTCTGAAGAGGAAACTTCAATTCAGAAATCTTTAGAAAGATTTTATCTGTGTTTACCTGAACAATATCCAAACCTGATAGAGTGCCACAGTTATGATTATGAATCACTTTCCAAAGTCCATGACAAAGGTCCCACTACCTCTTTAAAGCATTTTCAGGAACCAAACCAGGAAGTTTACTATATGTTGATTTATTTGTCTTGCACTATCTTAGGTTATACAAGTCTCTATGAAACTGAATAATAAATGTATTAAGTACAAGATAAAGCACCTCAAACCTTTCCAGGTGACTTCCTCCAGTGACACACTCTTGCTGTTTTTAAAAATATAGACTGTAATATGGGGAAGCCACTGTGTTTGAGAGGGAAGGAGATGCAATTAAATATAAGCATCAAATCTGAATTATTTCCTGGGTATCCCTGAGGAGGTAGGCACAGGGGTTATCTTAAATTCCTAATATATTAGATTTGTTAATATATTAGGTGATTGCTGTCAATTAAAAAAACAGATTCCTAGCTTGCCTGACTAAGAGGATCTTTCTTGCTGAAACAGCTGTTCAGATCTAGAAAGGCAGGCCAATAACTTTATGAGATCACCACATGATAGAGCGGGAATGAAAAACAAAGCTGCAATGTTCTGTTTTTCAGGACACACTTCGCAAACCTCGAATCAATTATGCAGGGTACATTGTAACTTATACAATCTTTCCATCTGCTTCCATTCTACACCTTTCTGCATTTCTGCCCAAAACATCTGGGTGGTGAGAGACATTCTTTCTTAAGGCTAAACCCTGCACCCCTCTGGTGGTGTTATTCTCTCTCGTCTCAATTTCACACGGGTTTCTGAAGTCCTTGCTTCTAGAATTGTGGTGCTTCTTGGCAAAATATCCTCCTACCCCTCAACAACCAACACCTGGAAATTGCTGCAGGACTGAGTGTTATAAACTGGGTGACATTTAGAAAGAGAGAGAGGGAGAGAGAGAACTTTGCTTGTCCTCAGTTCCACCTAACTGAGGTGCAGGAGAATCAGGGAAGAAGTCACTAGGAGTCGGGTGGCATAAAAACGTAATAAATTATTTTTGGTCGCACAGTCAGCCAGACTGGATTTGGCATTTTTATCCACTTATCAAGTCCGTCCTTCCCAAGGACCTGGGATAGGCAGATGTTGTTGTTGGATGGTGTTAAAAGTATCATCTCAGGATGTAAGCCGTTCCAAGTAAAGCTGCCTTTTGCAATGGACTGATGGTGATTTTGTCAATGCTGATGGTCT